GGTGTCCTTGCTGGTGGATCCCTCAAGGGATTTATCAGTGGTAGACATTACAATAGATGCAAACGCCTTCATCCAATACTAGCCCTCACGTTCTGGAAACTACATTTTCAGTCCTTCCTTGACAAGCACCCTGGAATTGTTGATGATGACATGAAGCAACTGGTGAGTGAAGTCGGCGTCAATCCAACATCAGAGTCTGTCAAACTGGCTTTAGAAAAGAATGCAATTCAAAGAATCCTTGACACATATGATGCCTATTCAGAGGAGACCAGGAATGGGGCTCATGGGAAAACTGCTCAGTTCTGGATCATCTATATCGATCTTGTAAACCTCTATCTGATGTTTAGCAGGGCCTGCAGGACGTGTGACTTCAACCTTTTTGTGTACTGCCTTGGACGGATGTGTCCAACTTTCTTTGCTATTAATCGTCCAAATTATTCAAGATGGATGACCTTGTATCACTTGAATCTACTGAACATACATATCACACACCCGGGAGCAAAAGAGATGCTAGAAAATGGAGGACTTTCAATAAAGAGAAGCACAAATTCATTCTCCAGAGTACCAGTTGATATGGCACTTGAGCAAACTGTCAATGCTGATGCGGCTTCAAGGATGACAGGAATTTCTTCGTTCATACAATCAGAGTCTGCTCGCACAAGATGGATGATAACTCGCTCTTTAAGAAGCGCAGTTGTGTCAGGTCTTCTTGAGATGGCTGGCCTTGACAGAAAAGATGAAACTTCTCGTGAGCAAAGGCTATGTCGGGTTGTGAGAGATCACCAGGATGTTGAGAAACTTCTCAATGCAATAGAAAATAGTTTGAATCCTTTCAGTGAAGCATGTCCCAACTCCAACCTCTATTGTATCAGTTCCGGAAAGGCTGTACGAGATGAAATAGCCAATGATCTTGTTTCTGTGCTACAGAAAGGAGAAGAGTGGTACAAGCAATTTCAAGATGGCTGTTTCAGTGATGCTTGTCGGTTTGAAAAACCTATTCCCAGACGTAAAGTAAAAAATTTTGCTGCTGAAGCTGTTAAACTTTCATGCACAGCCAAAGATAAGAAGGTAAATGAGCTGAAATGCACAAGTGATCTGTTTGGAAGACTACTGTACCTAGCTACAACCTTAAACATCAACCTGCAAGAAGTCTTTCAATATCCCTTGACTCCAGTACCTCTTTGCCTTGCCCACATAGACGGCTCTCTCAACAAGACTGACAAATCAAGGCTTCTGTACTGTCTTGAAAAGAAGGTCGAGGATCACTCACAAGCTGTCACTCTTGATGTATGCATTGTTGATGGGATGTTCTTTGTACAGTCTCTCACGAATGTACCTCTAAGGTACAAGGATATTGCCCAAACAATGCTTATTGCGCTCTGTCGAATGGCCAAACGTGTTGAGTTTGTGTGTGATACATACAAGAGTCCATCCATTAAGGATACTGAACGGCAGATGCGTGGTCCGACTGAATTTGAAGCCTTAGTGACAGGTCCTCTCCAGATTAGACCAAAAGAATTCCATCAAGCATTGAGGTCTCCAACGTTCAAATCATCGCTCCTGAGGTTTCTTGTAGAAGAATGGGCAAAAGATGAATATAATTCAATATTGTCAGGACATGAACTGTATGTTGCCATCGACAGTGTGTGCTATGTTTTCACAGCCTACAGTGGGCAAGTTGTCAGATCACTTGTTTCCCATCTACAGTCTGGCCACGAAGAAGCAGATACAAGATTGATATTTCATGCATGCAGTACCAGCAGTGACTTAGAATCGCCAAGGATTTCAGTCAGAGCATCTGACGTCATGGTCCTTCTACTGCACCATCTGAAACGAATGAATGGTTCTCAGGTATGGATGGACATGGGAAATAGTAGTAAGAACACCAGACGCTACATTGATGTCAATGCAGTAGCTTCAGCTATTGGGGAGGATATCTGTGAGGCTCTTCCTTCTTTCCATGCATTCACAGGTTGTGACTACACTGCAGCATTTGCCAGAAAAGGAAAATGTCGTCCATTTCATATGTTGGAGACATCAGATGTATTTCAACAAGCTTTTTCTAATTTGGGAAGCCAAGACGAAATCACAGAGGAAGTTGTCAACATTATCGAGCACTTTGTTTGCATAATGTACAATAAAGGTGACATTTCAGATGTCAACGAGGCCCGTTATTGTATCTTCAAGGACAAATATGCACCTCGTTGTAAATCAGGACCACTTGATAACGTTAAAGGCTGTGATCCATGTGCCTTTCCCCCTTCGAAGAGTGTACTGCTTCAAAAACTGAACCGTGTTCACTATGTATCATCTATCTGGAAGAACGCTCATACTGCAACACCTGCATTAAGGTCTCCGGATGAACATGGTTGGAAATTGGTGGATGGCTCATATTCAGTCATCTGGTATAGCGGAGACCAAATGCCAACCTCAATACACAGGAAGCTTGATACTTTCTCCTCAGATGACTCTGATGAAGATGAGTTTTCCAATCTGTCTGATGATGACACAGATAACGAGAGCAGTGACTCGGACATTCATTGACGAACATGAACAAAGACATACTGAAAATTGTTGTGTGCAGGATAAACAGTGATATCATTCAAGAAAATTGTGAGATATACCACTAACTGGTGAAATTTGAAAGACGTTTTAAGAACTTGAATCAAATTTTACATTCTACTCACGAATGATAGCTACAATAGAAAATTTTGAAGGAGGAGTTATCTCCCTTTGGTGTATTTAAAATACTATAGAGTATTATAAAAGTAGCACTAGTTTACGTTTTTGCCAGAAAATGAAAAGCCTTTGCAGTGTTTTATACTGGCTATGCCCCATTCTAACAAAATTGACATAAGTTTCATGAATTTGGGGAATAGTTTCGTTATGAATCCAATCAAAAGTTGAAGTGTACAAAAAATTAACTCAAATTGCCATTTTGACTGTAAAAAAAAAATATAAATTAAATACAATTTGTCAGTTTTTTGTTTTCATAATAAAATATCATCTTTCAAGATTTGATTTAACATAGAATTTGACAACTATAGGTAACACATACATATCCTGATCATCTCTGAAAACATACTGTCACCTTCAGGAAAAAGTGCTGAGTCATGCCTTTAACGCCCCCTACTGGCAAAATGGTCAAGACGTATTTTGTAAGAAATATGTTTTTGAATAGCCCAGACATAATGCAAATGTTACAAGTATTCAAACCATATGGACCTTTCGGGGTAAATAAACATACCCTATCTCTTGGACTATAGCGATCAGCTGCTTCGCTTAGGGTTATTATTATTTTAAATATGTTTAGTAAAAGCTGCATCTAAATTAACCAGATATTGGAATATATTATTCCTGAAAAAAAAATAGTTTCAGATACAATTTTTGCCGATCCTTGCATTTAAAATCCTGTAAAGTTGTGTCTTGACCGAATGACCGGTAGATTCCAAGAAAACGTGTTGGGGGAGGGGCGCTTAATGGGTCGAATACGGTAGTTGAACTCATATTGTTGATGTCATCTGTGGGACGCCTACCGAGGTCACCGATCAGCTGTACAAGTTTTCTCGCTATTCAGACACAAGGGATAAGAACTGTATTGCATTTGACCCAAATTCCTAACGTTCGTGACAATTTCTTTTTTTAATTCATAATGTATTTTCGTTCTGATCTTCATGATCATGAAAAGCGCCATTGAAGCAGACTGCAACTCAAGATATCTTCAATTCGATTCAAGCTATCTTCAATTCAATTCAAGATATCTTTAAAACAATTGAAGATATCTGTAATTCTGTAATAAATGTGAAAACGGCTTGCCATACGGACGCTCTACCACAAGACCACGGAGGCGGGAGAGATATGACACCGTTTTAGGAGAAAAGCTACATAGAATGGACGTGAACACTGTGAGAATATCCGGGAAAAACAAACGTCATCATTAGTTATATACGGGTAAATATGTTTGAAGCTTGTACATTCTATTAAAATCGTTTAAGAGTGAGTGAGTGAGTTGGGTTTAACGGCGCTTTTAACAGTATTCCAGTTATATCACGGCGTGTCAGCTTAATGTGGGAGGAAAGCCCGAAGTGATGCAGGTCTCAGACGTTTACCACTTCGGTGAAACCCACGAGCACGGGTATGGTGCTGACAAACCTAGAAACATAACCGGGATTCGAACCCACAATCATAGGTTTCTGGCGTGGCCAAGGGACGCAACTCTGCACAGCGAATCGCGGCGCCTTGGACGACTGGGCCACCCGTGCCCCTTTTAAGAGGCTGTACAAAATGTTGATATCTCATATAAGAAATAAACGACGAGTGGAGTTGTTTAACGTACAATACAACACTGCGGGGAGAATAAACCACTCGGGCAGCGCTGCAGTGTTTTTTTGGGTATGATTAACAACTCCCACCCGTCGTTTATGTCTCCAGTATAACCTTCTTGAAAGTCGGCCAGGTGGCGCGGGACTGACACACTTCGTTTACGAGGGACAGATGGTATGTCAGAGGAAACATTTCTTCACTAATCCCGGGTTAAACACACATAAAGATGAATGTTTAATGATACAGATTCGCATACGATGTTCAAACTAAAAACACTGAAAACGAATTAGTCGCCATAAACAGCAAAGACCTTGTTAGAAACACCACACGAGTTCTAGGAAGCGCACACAAGTCATCTGTAGAAATGGAGCACAACAATAGACTATCTTCACGTAAGTCTGTAAAATAATTCTAGTTCACGTGTTTCTTATACTATTACACATAAAATTGGAGAGAGAGAGAGAGAGAGAGAGAGAGAGAGAGAGAGAGAGAGAGAGATAGAGAGAGAGAGAGAAATAGAGAGGGAGAAAAACAACCCGAAATAAATAAAAAAAGGGAAATAGAAATACTATTAAAGTGATTATGAAAACATGACATCGAAAGATGTTGTGCATTTTATTATTCTGCTGTGCACATTGTTTTAGTTCTGACAGGTGTTAGTTCAATATATTGCATACCTGTCAGTTTTACCTGAGATTGCACCGGATGTGACGTCATCACTTCCACAGCCCATTGCTGTGCTCTATTTCTAAACAGTAAAAGAAACAGGATATTGAACAGGATAACTGTCGGACATGACTGAGATGGAACTACATAGGAATCATAGGAATCATACCAGGTCGGATAAACAAATCACAGGTTTCAAATCAGTGTAACATACCGATGATTCGAGCAACCGCACCACCGCGGTAGGAAGTATGTTTAAGAAAAGACATGATCAAACCCAAGTAACAAACTGACAATCTGCAACTCCAAGAAAATTCTTATCATGTTTGGAAAATTTGAATGTTTGACTGTAAACGTTCGAATATACAAGTTGTTTTCTCTTCAGAAGACTCGGAGAGTCGTCTAAGTATTAGGGACCGACCAGTTGATATTCTGGGTGGTGGTCTGTTGTGGTGTGTGTGTGTGTGTGTGTGTGTGTGTGTGTGTGTGTGTGTGTGTGTGTGTGTGTGTGTGTTTGTGTGTGTGTCCGTGTGTGTATGTGTGTGTGTGTCCGTGTGTGTGTGTGTGTTTGTGTGAGTGTCCGTGTGGTGTGTGTGTGTGTGTGTGTGTGTGTGTGTGTGTGTGCAAAACCAGATATTTTTTTCAATTAAAGCTATGAGACAATTTTTTTCAAGAATTTTCGGGGACAATTTTTTTTATAGACGCCCCTCCCCCACCCCCAAGAATAACAAATGATACATATTGTCAATGGTTACCATGCAAGCGAGTTAAACATATTGATAACAAAGCATTATTTGATTATATGTTTTAGATTTAGGGTTAAGACCAGTACTTACATAATCCCAGTCAACAATATAATCGATGGCACAAGACTAATTACCTTCGCATACAATAGAAAATACCCTTGCCGCTACGAAAGCCTAATTATCCCACTTGCATTGAACAGAATATTTCGAAATTTCGATTTTTGTCTCGTAATGTATAATTATTTACTCGAAACTTTCATTATTTTCTCCTAATTTCAAATATTTTCTCGTAATGTCGATTATTTTCTCGAAATTCCGAGTTTTTCCTCGTTATTTCAAATTTTTGTTCAACACAGAGACATGCCATTTTATGTGAGACAACTATGATAAAATCCGATCGGTTCCAAGTTATTTTTTCAGGTAAACGACAAACCTCAAAATTCACTTATGAACTATTTCCTAACTAAATTCATATCTACACATTATACATTGCGGTATTAATTAATGTTATCAATTACTACTATTTGTGAATTCGGATATTAAAACCAAATATTGATGTGGTATACCAATATTGTTTTCAGTTTTGTATGTATTGTTCGTTTTAAGCCGTAGTCAGGAATGTTCCAGCGTTATCGCGGCGGTGGCGGCCAAACCAGTTTGAGATTCCGAACACACAGTCACCAACCGAGTGTGACCCCCCCCCCCCCCCCCCCACCCCCATCCAGTTTAATCACATCACTTCTTGCTTATTCTCACATACACTTCAGGACATGGTAAAAGTCACAGGCTTGAAACATCTTAATGATTGAAAACCAGAACAACTCACTAGGCAGAACTATGAATATGTTATTTGTTCATCTATTGAAGGGACGCTTGTATTGTAATCGTATGCGATTTACTAAAAGTCTAACTTACAAGTATTATACAGGCGGTTTCTCAGACAGCGTCACCTTGCAATTAAGGATGACCTCTGACATAACGTGTGCGCCACAATGTGGCACTTGACGCCGGCGTCTGGGTGGCAGGTTTATAGGGAAATATTACTTCCATCTGACACAGGTCACATAACATAGATAGCAGTTGGTTTGGTTACCTCGTGAGTGAGTGAGTGAGTGTGTGTGTGTGTGCGTGCGTGCGTGCGTGCGTGCGTGCGTGCGTGTGTGTGTGTGTTTGTTTTCTCCATAATATTAGTCTTTTGCATACTTAATACCTTAGTCTACAGTCTGACAATCCATTTGTGGGCAACACCTCCCCAAGTAGCCTGACAAGCATGTCGGTGGGCGTGGCTTAGACTTACCCCCTACGTCGACACAACACAGTCCCAGTCTGATACGTGTATCGGTGGGCGTGGCTTAGACTTACCCCCTACGTCGACACAACACAGTCCCAGTCTGATACGTGTATCGGTGGGCGTGGCTTAGACTTACCCCCTGCGTCGACACATCACAGACCCATGATGCTCTCGCCTACAGTCTGACACGTGTATCGGTGGGCGTGGATTAGACTCACCCCCTACGTCGACCCAACACAGTCCCAGTCTGACACGTGTATCGGTGGGCGTGGCTTAGACATACCCCCTCCGTCGACACAACACAGTCCCAGTCTGACACGTGTATCGATGGGCGTGGCTTAGACTTACCCCCTGCGTCGACACATCACAGACCAATCATGCTCTCGCCTACAGTCTGACGCGTGCACGGTGGGCGTGGCTTAGACTTACCCCCAGCGTCGACACATCACAGTCCCATGATGCTCTCGCCTACAGTCTGACGCATGCACGGTGGGCGTGGCTTAGACTTATCCCCTGTGTCGACACAACACAGCCCCAGTCTGACACGTGTATCGGTGGGCGTGGCTTAGACTTACCCCCTGTGTCGACACAACACAGCCCCAGTCTGACACGTGTATCGGTGGGCGTGGCTTAGACATACCCCCTGCGTCGACACAACACAGCCCCAGTCTGACACGTGTATCGGTGGGCGTGGCTTAGACATACCCCCTGCGTCGACACAACACAGCCCCAGTCTGACACGTGCACGGTGGGCGTGGCTTAGACTTACCCCCTGCGTCGACACAACACAGTCCCATGCTGCCCTCGCCTACAGTCTGACACGTGTATCGGTAGCTGTACCAGTAGGACGTCCCGCCGTTCTGTGGGCACTGCCTGTACCAGGAGCAGTAGAAGGGACTGCCGTTAGACTGCGTCAAGGGGGCATAGTTGTTTTTACAGATCATCTGGTAATACCAGGCGTTGTTGCCGCTTGACGATCGCCTTGTAGTCGGGGTGTGTGAACTTGTCCTCGTCCTTGACCTTTGCTGATTCTGTCTGAAAAGTTCATTGTTAGATTAACTTAACCAAACATTTCAGTTAATGTAAAGATCCCCGGCTCGTGGCGGTTATTGATGATCAAATAGTCATTCCTGCTGAAACAGGGGGCACGGGTGGCCCAGTCGTCTAAGGCGCCGCGATTCGCTGTGCAGAGTTGCGTCCCTTGGGCACGCCAGAAACCTATGCTTGTGGGTTCGAATCCCGGTTCGCTACGATTATGTTTCTAGGTTTGTCAGCACCATACCCGTGCTCGTGGGTTTCACCGAAGTGGTAAACGTCTTAGACCTGCATCACTTCGGGCTTTCCTCCCACATTAAGCCGGCACGCCGTGATATAACTGGAATACTGTTAAAAGCGGCGTTAAACCCAACTCACTCACTCACTGACTCCTGCTGAAATAATTGCATGGAGATTTTTTTTAAGCAGGACATTATTTCTACACTTAAAAACATCAGACAGACTCTGCAATTAAAAATTAACATATCGTTTTTTAGTTTCAACAAAATCAGTAAATGCGCTATCGTGTGACCGGATGTCTGGTCGATCACTTGATTGTCTGGTTTGTTTACGTGCCGCCGTCGCATGGCAGGAGTACTGCAGGAGTACTGTTGTGTTCGAGAAAGGCGGTGGCTTTGACCTCGCGGGATTGACCTTGAAACTAATACCCTCACTGATCCCTAGTTTCCAAACATAATCAAGAGATCAGCATTAACGCGGTCAGTGATAATTTCTTGTCAAGTATATTTTACAATGTTTGACAACGGCGGCCTGTAAATTTTCGAGTCTGGGCCAGACAATCCAGTGACTGACATTGTGATCAAAGATCCACGCAATTGGGATATGATGACATGTCACCAAACCTGACCACCCGATCCATTTTGTCGCCTCTTACGACAAACAAAGGTGTCTGGGGATCTGTTCATAATTTTTTGTCAAGTATATTTTACAATGTTTGACAACAGCAAAGCCCCCATTTAAACACGTGGTCATGGTATTCACCTGCCCCAGGAGGATCCGCTCCAAGAGTTCCAGCTCTTCCAGGAGTTGTCGCTGCGTCTGTTGTTGGCCCACCTGTTGTCGGAGTTCCAGTAGTCGGAGTTACTAGTCCACGTGTCCACCCCTCGCTTGGCCCCCCACTGGTTCTGGTTGCCATAGTTCCACCCCCAGGTGTCCGTGGACTTGGTGTCCCACCGGCTCCATGGCTCAGGCTCCGTGTTCCAGCTTGACCGACGGCCGTTGTTCCATCCTCCCCAGGACCACGACGACGACGACTTCCGGCGTCCGAGAATCACCGAGTCTGAGTCAAGTTAATTTTTTATTTATATCCAATAAAACATCTACAGATTGTATACTTCCCGGGGAGCTGAGAATGGTTGGTTGGTTGTTTAACGCCGCACTCAGCAATATTCCAGCTATATGACGGCGGTCTGGAAATAATCGAGTCTGGACCGGACAATCCAGTGATTGAAATCATGAGCATCAATCGACGCAATGGGGTAACGATGACATGCATCAAACAATCAGCAAGCCTGACCCCCCGATCCACTTAGTCGCCTGTTACAAGCATGGGTTGCTGAGGATCTATAGTCTTATCCTGAATCGCAACGGAAGAAATCTTCAGAAGGCAATGGCAACTGCGATCAGAACAGTCCATTATTTCAAGGGGAATGAGGTTGAAACATTAATACCTTTAAATAACTTTGAATAAACGTCGGTGTATTACGTGAAATTAGTGTCGTCAGGAAACTCGGAATGTTTGTGTTTTAAGGATAGACCTCGGATATGCCTCGCCATTCTACCCATCCAGAGCCAGACCTGTCCATGACGTGCAGCCAAGGCGAACTGGATGGCCTCCAGCAACACACACGATCATCAGGGAAACGATAACATCACTGCTTACTTTCGATTTCAAAACCAGGTGACCCTTGTTGGACAACGTATAACTCAAGTTAAACTTGGTTGACCAATGTTAACACATGTTAACTGATTTACGCCATACGTCATTAACCTAAGTTGCCCGTACCCTCTGAACCCCTTGAGTACGGTACTCAGTGAACACACAATGCCTTTTTGTGGAAGCCTCGGTGGCTGAGTGGGTTAGATCGCTGACTTTGTGTGCTCGCGATTAGGTGCCTCACTCTGGCAGTGTGGTTTCGAATCCCGGACGGGACTCAACCCAAAAAAGTACGAGAATCTGTACTTTACTCAGAAAGTTTAATCCCAAATATAACATTTGTTGCGGTACTCTGGTTAGCACCCCGGAACTGACGTCATCGATAAAGCTAATTAGTTTAATTTGTTCATTCAATCATGAATAAAAGAAGTTTAATGAATATAATTAACTATGTATTGATAGTATATATGTATTCTTATAAACGTCAGTGAAATTTAACATTCGATTGGTGAGACGAATACTTTAGAGTCAATAATGCAACTTTGATGATGATTTTGAATCTCTGATGTTCCATGCATTATTTGAAGTTTCTTGTCGCTTTACATTAAATAGAAAAGGTAGAATGGCACATAATTCAAGCTAGTGTGTATCTCAATCCTCTGTCAGCCATTTTGTATTTTATCCATAAATTGTAATTTATACGTTCTATTTCGGGCACTGCCCTAAGTTATGCTTGATTAACGCTGGTAAACTCAGTTAGAATCTAGTCAATTATGATTGCTAGAAATGTGCTAACATCGGTTAACTCGTGTAGCCCAAATTTTAAAAATCAAATGCACGTTCGTTTTGTTTTTGTTGTTGTTTAACGCCGCACGCAGCAATATTCCAGCTATATGACGGCGGTCTGTAAATAATCGAGTCTGGACCAGACAATCCTCTGATTGACTTCATGAGCATCGATCAACGCAATTGGGACAGACGCACGTACAGTTTGTTGCCTAGTAATACTTTCGGGAAGTATAGTATAATCAAATGTGTCTGTATACCGGGGTCTATAGGACCTCAAGTAAGGATGGATATCACAGCCAGCTTTAGCTCAGGGTGTACCGAATTTCTAGCACAGCGACAGTATCGTATATCCGATATTCACTTTAACAGAGAATCATATGTGTTTGTTGTATGTGATATTCGCTATAACATACGCCATTTTGTCATTTCCGATGTTGACAGGAAAGTAGTATCGAAAAATAGAAAGACAAGTAGGGTGGTATTAAAACATACTGTCCAACATCACACCAGCACTTCTCGGTCTTAATGCTACATTTCTACAGGAAAAATGCAATGTCTTAAAGAACTTGTTGGAGACAAAGGTGGGTGTGTTGCACATATAAGCTGCGTGAAAAACCCTAAAACATGAACATTTCCCAAAAGTGATTTAATATCTAACGATTCATTTAAGGTCTTGACCAAAAATCATGATATCCACGCAATTAAGATTATTTACCACACAACATCAGAACAGAAGTAATACAAATTTACCTAAAATTTATGATAAAAGTACTGATCTTTTGTATACCGTTAGGTAGCGGAACGATGGCTCAGTGGTTAAAGCGTTGGCTCGTCACTTTGAAGACCCGGGTTCGATTCCCCAATGGCTACAATTTACGAATTGTGGGAACGGTTACAGCTGGGATGTTCGTAAAACGGCGTAAAAAAACATTCGCTCACTCATTTCGTAAATATTTTTAAACATATTGGTAAACAAGTTTTAGGTTAATCAAATAACAGTACTTACCTACTAATGCAAGCGAGCAAGCTAGCAAGATAATATGTTGCATGGGAAACTCCATCATGACAGATTCTCCCCTTGAGGCCCGACTGGCAATTTGTGGCACTTATGGGATGTCAGGCAGAAAGTTCTGCATGTCGGTCACGTGTCACGTGCAGTGGCGAGCACAGTCGACCACAGCCGCCACAGCTCCTGTCATGTACGGTTATGTCACAAGCCTCCACTGGAATCATGCAAGCATGACTGGTATATCATATAAAGGAAGTAATTTTGCTGGTGTATGTTTATGTGTATGTTTCGAGGTGTGTTGTGTTGATTGCACGGGCAGGTTTGACGACCAGGGAGGAGCCCTTTTTGTGTGTCTGAAAAGCCAGGGTTCGTCTAGGGTAAAAGAATGAGTCAGTATGGTTTTACGCCGCTTTTAGCAATATTCCAGCAATATCACGGCGGGGGACACCAGAAATGGGCTTCACACAATGTACCCATGTCGGGAATCGAACCTGGGTCTTCGGCGTGACGAGCGAACGCTTTAACCACTAGGCTACCCGACCGCCCCCGAGGGTAAAAGAACAAGACGATGGTTCTCGGTGCCATCGTGTCGGGTTCAATATGGTCAGTTCTTGGTTAGCGCTGTTACTCACATCAAATCTTTCATGTGAACTAGCTCTTTTAACTCGAATCTAGATTTAGATCAGTATAGGATGGGCATATTCACGTGTTCTTATTGTTCAGACCCGTGAATAGGTCTCTAGCAACCCATGCTTGTCGTAAGGCGACTATGCTTGTCGTAAGAGGCGACTATGCTTGTCGTAAGAGGCGACTATGCTTGTCGTAAGAGGCGACTATGCTTGTCGTAAGAGGCGACTAACGGGATCGGGTGGTCAGGCTCGCTGACTTGGTTGATGCATGTCATCGATCCCAATTGCGTGGATCGATGTTCATGATGTTATTCACAGGGTTGTCTTTTCCAGACTCGATTATTTACAGACCGCCGTCATAAGGCAGGATTATTACTGAGTTCGGCTTTAAACAATAAACAAAGAAACAAATTCTTATTGTTCAAGGTATTCTTTGTCGTCATCTGACGAAAGTTAATTCTGTAGGAGTGAGTGAGTTGGATTTAACGCCGCTTTTAACAGCATTCCAGTTATATCACGGCGTGTCAGCTTAATGTGGGAGGAAAGCCCGAAGTGATGCAGGTCTCAGACGTTTACCACTTCGGTGAAACCCACGAGCATGGGTATGGTGCTGACAAACCTAGAAACATAATCGGAGCGAACCGGGATTCGAACCCACAATCATAGGTTTCTGGCGTGCCCAAGGGACGCAACTCTGTATAGCGAATTGCGGCGCCTTAGACGTCTGGGCTCTCACGACCCCCTATCTCTGTAGGAAGTAATCAATATTCACTGAAAACCACAGTGCCGTTTCTGTTATGTTTGAAAGTTTATAAATGTCCATGTGACGCTGTTCTGAGACAATTCATCTTCCATCTTGTTTATGGCAACTCTGTCAGGCAATCGTCATCTCGACATCTAAGTGTCAGATTCCAGGTAAAATTCTGTCACGTGTAAGTACTTTTTGTGGCAGGGAAACTGTTGTAAATATGTTTGTGGTAACTGTCAGTGACGGCAGGTGATTGAACTACCAGTAAATAAAACCCGAGAAGATCCGGGGTAGAATAGGTCTTCAGCAACCCATGCTTACTGTAAAAGGCGACTATGCTTGTCGTAAGGGGCGAATAACGGGATTGGGTGATGAGGCACGCTGACTTGGTTGATGCATGCAATCGTATCCCAATTGCGTGAATCGATGCTCATGTTTCCAATCGCTGGATTGTGTGGCCCAGACTCGATTATTTACAGACCGCCATCATGTAGCTGGACTATTACTGAGTGCGGCGTTAAACAACAAACAAACAAACTGGTAAATAAATATCAAGTGGTGCAGCGAGTGGACATTGCCAGAATTGTATTGTACTATAATTAGAGTTATCTGCCCTTGGTTCGTACATGAACAGAGAGCCCTCTTTCAGGACATTCAACAGTAGATGGTGTGTAATATGTGCTAATTATTGTTTCACGGGACCTCTGATGTGCGTAGATCGATGCTCATGATATCAATCACTGGACTCTCAGGTCCAGACTCGATTATTTACAGACCGCCGTCATATAGCTGGACTATTGCTGAGTGCGGCGTTAAACAACAAACAAAATATTGTTATCACGGATTTGCAACCTTTTGAGTTGCGAATATTTAAGTTTGCTTCTCAGAACTTATCAAATCCGGCTGAAACACATTTAACGCTGTGTCTGTTTAAAGCAAAATGGATTTGGAGAAAGATGATCATCAGAGGTGTCCTCAAGTACACCTGGTTTAGTATACAGTTGTCTACCTGGAACTGATGCAACTGAACAGTTTAAGACCACTCCATTTATTTAATTGAATTAAGGAATTAAAAAAATGACTACATTACAAGAACATACGTAGTCTCAAGCTTTCGACCTTGGTTAACTGTAAATTTAGCCGCGCTAAATTGAATTTGGAACCGAACGCGCAGCTTGAGGTCATCTTCCCGAGGCAAGGGAGTTAACTGACTGATAACGAATTTGGCTGGAATTTCTGGGTTCGATCGTCGCGCCGCCAGTGGCTATTATGTCCCTTCTTACCCCAGCTATTGACCAGTCAGATTCCCCCTCGGATGTCACGTGAATTTGCTTTAAACAAAATGGCGGCGCCCTGCAGTCAAGACGATATGATCGATAATCAAAATATATGTTGTGATAAAACAGGTCTTACTTCGCGAAGTGCATCAAATCATGTGAGCACCTTGAAAAAAAACATGACAAGATTTGGAGAATATCTGTTGACGATATGTACTCGGTGCACATGCTTTGCAAATCCTGCAATCGACCGAAATCTGCACAACAGTTTACAAACCGGATGTTGATTTAGTTCCGCGATTTTGATTGGACTATGCATAGACTCGTTGGTCCAGCCAAAATGTAACTCCATAATACCAGCCTAGTTCGGCAAGGGTGGAAACTTGACTTTTATAGTCCGTTAACTCCCTTGCCTCGGGAAGATGGATATTTCAAATGTTAAATTTAGCGCTATATTTAAAACCCGCTCATTCACACCATTATATTGTGAAGGTAGTCAAAGCATAGGTTTGATTCTCAACTCAACAAACTCATGAAGACAATATTCCAGCTATATGACAGCTGTCTGTAAATAATCGAGTCTGGACAAGACAATTCAGTGATTGACATCATTAGCCTTGATCCACGCATTTGGGTGAGTGAGTATGGTTTTACGCCGCTTTTAGAAATATTCCAGCAATATCACGGCGGGGGACAGCAGAAATGGGCTTCACACATTGTACCCATGTCGGGAATCGAACCCGGGTCTTCGGCGTGACGAGCGAACGCCTTAACCACTAGGCTACCCGACCGCCCCGTTTATGCTTGAAACAACACTGCAGTGATGTGCTGGTCAATACAGCTTTTACCGGTACCGCAACATTGTGCTCTCGTTGTTGTTCAAGTCAGAACAAAATTATTTCATTAATTTGTGTTGTGGTTATTTTTCATCAATAGAAATGTTCAACAAACTGTTTCTACTTGTTTTGTTGATTCTTAATTCGTCATCATGTTGTGTGATGCGATGACGTCACCACTGGTAAAAAACCCAAAGTTACACCCGGGCGAACACCACAACGTTTCCACTGACCAATACGTTTTGAAAATCGCTAATTAACATTGAAATTACGAAATTCATTTCAGTGGATGATATAACTCTGTCCATTATGAAACACGTTTGTTTGTTTGTTTGTTTGTTTGTTTAACGTTGCACTCCCCAACCCCCTTTGGTAAACTGCGGCATGGTATCTCAGTGTGCTAGCACTAAAAATCGGCATCAGGCCGGACTAGTACAAGAGCGAACACACGCACGCACGCACGCACACACGCAAAATAAATACGTTTAAAGGTGGTACTTGTTGTTACCCTGTCTGGCGCTCGGCATTAAAGGGGTTAAACAAGGACTGGTCGGCTCGGAGTCAGTATACTGTGTCTGAGTGGGGTATTCATGTTAAACTGCGGCATGGTATCTCAGTGAGCTAGCACTATAATCGGCATCAGTCCGGACTAGTACAAGCAGCCACACACACACACACACACACGTACATGCGCGTCGCTATTTTAGTGCAGTAATTTTGGACGCGACGTTAAACCCCATTTCGCCTCACCTGGCACGTGGGATTCGGGAGACTCGGTGGTACGCGGAACAAAACAGTAACACCAAAATAATGTTGTACGTAAAACAATTTAAATAATTTATTGTTTCGATTTTTTTGCAGTAAATGAACTTCAAATCGTGCTCTTTTCTCAATGCTTTTGAGATTTGTGTTAAGCAGTATTCGGGATTCAGGGGGTTGGCAACATCAGCTATATAAGGCATCGACCATGACATCATGCGCATCAGTCTACGCAACTGAGATACGATGACATGCTTCAACCAAGTCAGCGAACCTGATCACCCTGTCCCGTTAGTCGCCTCTTACGACAAGCATAGTCGCCTTTTACAAGCATTGGTTGCTGAAGACCTATTCTACCACGGATCTTCACGGGTCTGTAATACACGTATTTAGCAACACGGCTACTGGTATACTCAATGTTATCAGTTACGAGAATACCATTTCATGACTTCAACAGTATTAGTATAACACATAGCGTCATTTACACTGCATTGACGTCACTTTGTGATGCGGTAACAATGAAACAATGGATGGCGTCATTAGCTCCCTGACAACAAGGCCGACATGTTGTTAGACAACAGAACAACAACCAATATTTTCGGTCGAATGTTAATATCATTGTGTATAACAGGAAATATTGATGTCATTGAGTATAACAGGAAATTTTGATGTAATTGTGCATAACAGGAAATATTAATGTCATTAGGTATAACAGGAAATATTAATGTCATTGTGTATAACAGGAAATATTAATGTCATTGTGTATAACAGGAAATATTAATGCCATTGTGTATGACAGGAAATATTAATGTCATTGAGTATAACAGGAAATATTAATGTCATTGTGTATAACAGGTAATATTGATGTCATTGTGTATAACAGGAAATATTGATGTCATTGTGTATAACAGGATATATTAATGTCATTGAGTATAACAGGATATATTAATGTCATTGAGTATAACAGGAAATATTGATGTCATTGAGTGTAACAGGAAATATTGATGTCATTGTGTATAACAGGAAATATTAATGCCATTGAGTATGACAGGAAATATTAATGTCATTGAGTATAACAGGAAATATTAATGTCATTGAGTATAACAGGAAAGATTAATGTAATTGTGTATACAAGAAAATATTAATGCCATTGAGAATGACAGGAAATATTAATGTAATTGTGTATGACAGGAAATATTAATGTCATTGAGTATAACAGGAAATATTGATGTCATTGAGTGTAACAGGACATATTTATGTCATTGAGTATAACAGGAATTATCGATGTCATTGAGTGTAACAGGAAATATTGATGTCATTGTGTATAACAGGAAATATTGATGTCACTGAGTGTAACAGGAAATATTGATGTCACTGAGTGTAACAGGAAATATTGATGTTACTGAGTGTAACAGGAAATATTGATGTCATTGTGTATAACAGGAAACATTAATGCCATTGAGTATGACAGGAAATATTAATGTCATTGAGTATAACAGGAAATATTAATGTTATTGAGCATAACAGGAAATATTAATGTTATTAAGTGTACAGGAATTATTGATGTCATTGAGTATAACAGAAAATATTGATGTCATTGAGTATAACAGGAAATATTGATGTCATTGAGTGTAACAGGAAATATTGATGTCACTGAGTGTAACAGGAAATATTGATGTCACTGAGTATAACAGGAAATATTAATGTTATTGAGTGTACAGGAAATATTAATGTTATTGAGTGTACAGGAAATATTGATGTCATTGAGTATAACAGGAAATATTGATGTCATTGAGTATAACAGGAAATATTAATGTCATTGATTATGACAGGAAATATTAGGACGTCATCTTCCGGACAAACACAGTTATGTGTCGGCCTTCTTTGAGTGAGAGGATATGGATAAAATCCGCTACTATCACGGCGGGGTCACCAGAAATAGGACTTCACACATTGTGTAGATGTTGGGAATCGAACCCGGCCCTTCGACATGACAAGCGAACGCATAAGTTTCTAGGCTACCCACTCACAGCAGGTATTCTGTGTATATGTATGGCTATGACGTTTTTTTCAGTGTACGCCATTACGTCGCTAGAGGGGTGTGCGCTCGTGTCCCTGTCCTTATCAATACGTAAAACTCCGTTAATCCGGAAGGTCGAGTTCCCGATGATTGTGTCCGTCTAACATAATTAAGCGGTTAATGAGTACTGTCACTTCATACACATGTATAATTTCCAGTGGGCGGAAAGTGGGCGGTAGGGATTCACGGGGTCTGCATAATTAAAGGTTCACTGTTCATATATTGCAGCACGCCAAACACTCGTAGGAAAGATACATTTAAACACTGCAGTGTCTTTAAGTTGTGAATCTATCTCTACACACACAACCATCTGTTGTCAGGGTCCAGGTCACACAAGCTGTGAAGCTCTCTCTACACACAACCATCTGTTGTCAGGGTCCAGGTCACACAAGTTGTAAAGCTCTCTCTACACACACACAACCATCTGTTGTCAGGGTCCAGGTCACACAAGTTGTGAAGCTCTCTCTACACACAACCATCTGTTTTCAGGGTCCAGGTCACACAAGTTGTAAAGCTCTCTCTACACACACACAGCCATCTGTTGTCAGGGTCCAGGTCACACAAGCTGTGAAGCTCTCTATACACACAACCGTCTGTTGTCAGGGTCTGGGTCACACAAGCTGTGAAGCTCTCTCTACACACAACCATCTGTTGTTAGGGTCCAGGGCACACGAGCTGTGAAGCTCTCTCTACACACAACAATCTGTTGTCAGGGTCCAGGTGACACTAGTTGTGAAGCTCTCTCTACACACAACCATCTGTTGTCAGGGTCCAGGTCACACAAGTTGTGAAGCTCTCTCTACACGCAACCGTCTGTTATCAGGGTCCAGGTGACACAAGTTGTGAAGCTCTCTCTACACGCAACCGTCTGTTATCAGGATCCAGGTCACACAAGTTGTGAAGCTCTCTCTACACACAACCATCTGTTGTCAGGGTCCAGGTCACACAAGTTGTGAAGCTCTCTCTACACACATCCGTCTGTTGTCAGGGTCCAGGACACACAAGTTGTGAAGCTCTCTCTACACACAACCATCTGTTCTCAGGGTCCAGGTGACACAAGTTATGAAGCTCTCTCTACACACATCCATCTGTTCTCAGGGTCCAGGTGACACAAGTTATGAAGCTCTCTCTACACACATCCATCTGTTGTCAGGGTCCAGGTGACACAAGTTATGAAGCTCTCTCTACACACATCCATCTGTTGTCAGGGTCCAGGTCACACACGTTGTGAAACTCTCTCTACACACAACCATCTGTTGTCAGGGTCCAGGTCACACAAGTTGTGAAGCTCTCTCTACACACAACCATCTGTTGTCAGGGTCCAGGTCACACAAGTTGTGAAGCTCTCTCTCTACACACACAACCATCTGTTGTCAGGGTCCAGGTCACACAAGTTGTGAAGCTCTCTCTACACACAACCATCTGTTGTCAGGGTCCAGGTCACACAAGTTGTGAAGCTCTCTCTCTACACACACAACCATCTGTTGTCAGGGTCCAGGTCACACAAGTTGTGAAGCTCTCTCTACACACAACCATCTGTTGTCAGGGTCCAGGTGACACAAGTTGTGAAGCTCTCTCTACACACAACCATCTGTTGTCAGGGTCCAGGTGACACAAGCTGTGAAGCTCTCTCTACACACAACCATCTGTTGTCAGGGTCCAGGTCACACAAGTTGTGAAGCTCTCTCTACACACAACCATCTGTTGTCAGGATCCAGGTGACACAAGTTGTGAAGCTCTCTCTACACACAACCATCTGTTGTCAGGGTCCAGGTCACACAAGTTGTGAAGCTCTCTCTACACACAACCATCTGTTGTCAGGGTCCAGGTCACACAAGTTGTGAAGCTCTCTCTACACACATCCGTCTGTTGTCAGGGTCCAGGACACACAAGTTGTGAAGCTCTCTCTACACACAACCATCTGTTCTCAGGGTCCAGGTGACACAAGTTATGAAGCTCTCTCTACACACATCCATCTGTTGTCAGGGTCCAGGTGACACAAGTTATGAAGCTCTCTCTACACACATCCATCTGTTGTCAGGGTCCAGGTCACACACGTTGTGAAACTCTCTCTACACACAACCATCTGTTGTCAGGGTCCAGGTGACACAAGTTGTGAAGCTCTCTCTACACACAACCGTCTGTTGTCAGGGTCCAGATCACACAAGTTGTGAAGCTCTCTCTACACACAACCATCTGTTGTCAGGGTGCAGGTCACACAAGTTGTGAAGCTCTCTCTACACGCACGCAACCATCTGTTGTCAGGGTCCAGGTGACACAAATTATGAAGTTCTCTTTAGTGTTGTCAGAGTCAAGGATCCAGAATCCAAAATCAATCAACTGCCAGAACTCATGGGAATTATGTTCATTACCGTCGCTTTCGTCCGAGGCAAGAACTTCGTGCCTTGAAGGATGTTTGTCCGGTGAACGTGTGAATGAAGGTTTTCTCTGTGTGTTCGCAGTATTGAAGTTAGCTTGGCTTGGGGTAACACCAATTAAAGTTGCAAGTTACAACCTAGTTTGAACACTGTCTGAGCCACACACACCTTCTCCGGTGAAGCCCTCGTTTACGCCGCCGCCATTGACGTGACCAGCATCCTCGTCACGTAACGTCGGACCAAGGCTGGTTGGCTGACTAGTGGGAGGCTTTGTTGGAGAGATCTGGAAAACAGAATGATATCATGATATGATTCTTATAAGTCACAAATTTAGATGCGGAGTTAGTGAGTGACCTGAACACGTTAGGCAGGCCTGAGCGGGCCCTGTTGTCATAGTTATAGTTGCAAAAGAAACAACAGCTGATCTTCTTTTCACTCAATCACATAACTATCTGATAAGGGGGGCAGACTATCAAGTCGTTTCTCGTACTACATGACCTAACCTCACTATAATACTAACTTTACTGGTTTCCTTAATCATTAATGCCTAATTTAAAATGTTGGTTATATTCAAGGAGGCACGGGTGGCCATGTCGTCTAGGGCGCCGCAATTCGCTGTTCAGAGTTGCGTCCCTTGGGCATGCCAGAAACCTGTGATTGTGGGTTCGAATCCCGGTTCACCTCGAGTATGTTTCAAGGTTTGTCAGCAGTGTATCATTGCTCCTGGGTTCAACAAATTGGTAAACGTCTGAAATCCGTACTCTCCAACCAGTTTACGTAAACATGTACTCCCAAACCAGTTTATGTAAATATGTATTCTCTAACCTGCTTGTTCAATCTTATACTTTGTAACCTGCTTATTGTTACCTTGTACACTCTAAGTTGCCTTTGAAATGGACTCTTCACCAGGAACATGAAGACCGAGGCCACCAGAGTTATAGCCCCTGTCATATAGAAGCCGGGGTTGTAGGAGTTGAGCTGGTCGTGCATGGCGCCTGGAGTAGAAATGTCCCTTGGTACCCATGTTTCATATATATAATATCAACAGCGACAATTTCACTGCACCAAATACAACACGTCCTGATGGTTGCTATGTACTAGACGCCATGGAGAAACCGTTGTGAGAGATTGTGTGTGTTATTTGTTTAACGCCGCTTAACTCAGCTATATTTCTATATGTAATCTGGACCAGACAATCCCGTGACTGATATCATGAGCATCGATCCACGCAATTGGGATATGATGACATGTATCAACCAAGTCAGCGACCCGGACCACCCGATCCCGTTAGTCACCTCTTACGACGAGCATAGTCACCTTTTACGGCAAGCATGGGTTCCTGAAGACCTTTTCTACCCCGGATCAGTTCAGAGAAAGACATGGGCACATCATATTTGTCGTAAGCGAGGAACAAAATAAATTTGGAGTGGTTTGGCATAGTTTGACTCATTGTGTGTCATTGTGAGTGAGTGAGTGAGTGAGTTTGGTTTTACGCCGCTTTTAGCAATATACCAGCAATATCACGGCGGGGGACACCAGAAATGGGCTTCACACAATGTACCCATGTCGGGATTCGAACCCGGGTCTTCGGCGTGAGTGTCACTGTACCCCGATGACGTGACGTCGCTGACGTTGAACCACCATTGTTTTGTCTGTCCCAGATTCGACTATTTACAAGCCGTCATGATATATCTGGGACCGGGATATACTAAGGGTGGCCCAGTGGGCTAAGGTTTTGAATCTTATATTCGACTCCATAATTGTCCTTGAGTTTTGTCTGCATGTCTCACAAACTGTTAAGGGGCGGTCGGGTAGCCCAGTGGTTAAAGCGTTCGCTCGTCACGCAGAAGACCCGGGTTCGATTCCCGACATGGGTACAATGTGTGAAGCCCATTTCTGGTGTCCCCCGCCGTGATATTGCTGGAATATTGCTAAAAGCGGCGTAAAACCGTACTCACTCACTCACAAACTGATAAACGGCGGTATTAGTTGAAATGAAGCGGAAACGCCTTGATATTAGTGAAAAAGTTTTCCTACACACTCACTCACTTATTGATAAAAACGTATATCGAAAACCCATAACATATAGACACCAACCTTTCTGCAGTTATTTTCTGTCTCAACCATTCGATTAGATGCAGACTTCATCAGACAAGAAATACTTACTTTTTTATGGAAATTGTGAGGTGAGGTGAAATGGGGTTAAACGTCGCGTCCAAGATTATTGCACTTACATAGCGACGTGCATGTACGTGTGTATGTTTGTGTGGCTGCTTTTACTAGTCCGGACTGATGCCGATTTATAGTGCTAGCCCACTGAGCTACCATGCCGCAGTTTAACATGAATACCCGACTCAGACACAGTATACTGACTCCGAGACGACCAGTCCTTGTTTTAGCCCCTTAATGCCGAGCGCCAGACAGGGTAACAACAAGTACCATCTTTTAACGTCTTTTGGTATGACGCAGCCGGGATCGAACCCTGGACCTTCCGCTCTCCGGGCGGACGCTCTACCACTAGACCACGGAGGCGGTACTACCGGAAGGACATGACATGCTAAACCTTTTTGCGAACACTTGGTGTGAATACTGATTTTCAGTGGTCTGTTCATACAGTTTCCACAGCTATTTTGCCCTTTATGACAAATGGAGTCTGTTTTGGTCGATAATCAAGACTGGTTGTGACGTTTTATGTATATTTTCCTTGACGTAACAAGAGTAGCTGTACCTGTAATAACGGGTGCTGACAGGAATGTCGGTATAGAGAGGAGGGAGGAAAATCCAATAGCCTGTGACGCATTTCCGGCCCCGACCAGCTCAATGGCGTTTGGTCCAAACAACACCATTATGACAGCGTCCGCAATTCCAAGACCCACGGCGATTACAATGAACCCTGGGAACGTGTGGCTGAATGGAATGCAGATGACGATGACGCCATAGACAAATAACGCCCCCTGCTGGAGATATATCCTGTATTGCCTTAACAAGTCCGATAACTTCCCCACCGCGAGTTTGCACACCCCCGACACGGCGGCCATGACAGTTATGAGAATACTGGCATGGGTACCCGGTAGAATGTGGGCCACATGGTTGACCTGCAACATTGAATAGGAGTTAATATATTTCCTACTTTTGTCAAAGCAATTGCTCGATGTCCAAGGCGACACATTTTACTCTACAGAGTCTTTGTCGGTCTTTGTCCGTTGGTCTTGGGTTCTGATTCAAGATTCGACCCGATTGGCAAATGATCTCGACCTTTTCGAATTACGACACATTTAGAATTTATATATTGTAAAGGGTCTTGTAAAGTGACAAATTATGGAATGTCTTATATGTCTAATGTCTTATACTCGTTCATATGAGAAAACATCAAACGATTTCGAAAGTTCTGCTAATGAAAAAAATATGCAGATCATCACGGACACAAAGAGTCCTGACCGTAATGAGTGCTTTAATCAAACAAACAAATCTAAAAACAAACACGTTCAAAGTTTCATTGAAATAACAGTACAGTAAACTACGGTTATAACGAACACGCTTATAACGAACTGACGGATATAACGAACTAACCTTTTAGTCCCGACTATTTGCTGTAGTTATGCTGTATATATGCTTATAACGAACTACGGTTATAACGAACTAAAAATAGTAGTCTCTTTGAGTTCGACCATAAAATATTTTTGGTCTCTTGAGTTGATAATCTGCTACTCCATCAACTCACCATGTGGAAGTACGGCTCCAGGTAACCAAACCGACTCACGGACAAAACAACGCACCACGTGACGAACTGTCTGTTCTTCCAAACACGTCCGTTCAAGACCTTCCAAGACATGAAGCTAAAACACCTCTTCACGTGACTTGTGTTTCCACGAGTACTGCCGTGACTTGAATATTCTCGCGTGATCAGAGGTTTCCACGCAAGTGTACAAAAGGTCAAGGTCACTCCAAGGCCGGCATAGCATATCAAGGTCACCTTGAGTCCGAAGTAGCCCAGGATGTAGGGCAGGGCGAAGGACATGGCCACGGTGAAGGCGGACGCGCCAAAGGTGACTATACCGTTCACAAGGCCAAGGTTGTTTTTGAAATAATGGCCTGTTATTGCCACCATCGGGGAGAAGACCAGGCCGAAGCCGCTGCCGAGGATGACCCCGTAGGTGAGGTAGAGTAGTTCCAACTTCGTCACGAAGGCGCTGGAGAGAAACCCCGCCACGCACAGAACACCGCCAATCAGAGCCGTGTGACGTAATCCGATGACGTCACATAGTATGCCCGACACGCAGCACATGAGAAACATGACGCCGTTCATGCACGAACCGATGAAAGCTGCAAAGAGAGATGTCACACATTATTAAACGTTGTTGTCACAGAAGACCTAACCTCTGCCGACCTTACATACGTTTTGTAATTACTTGGTTATACGTAAGCGAGTAGGGTTTGTTTTTTTTACGTCGATTTCGGCAGTATTTCAGTTTTATCATAGCGTGTCAGTTTGATGTAGGTAGACAGCCGGAAGTGATGCAGGTCTCAGAAGTTTGGAATTTTGGTGAAATCCACGGGTATGGTGCTGACAAACCTAGAAACATGATCAGAGCGAATCTGGATCCCTGAGATATCGTATTTCGTACAATGTCAACGTTGTTTATCTCACTAGAACATGTCGCGATAAAGAACATAGCCACACGAGAGGCATTGTGATAAGTTCATGCAGATCTCATCTATGTGCAGAGGACTGATACTCGATCAGGGCCCACGAACATGCAAAGAACCAGAAACAATGCGCTATAAAGACCTCCTCGCGACGATATAGCGCGCGTCCACACAAGAATCCGTGTACCACGCGATATAAATACCACGTGCGTTCGAAGTATGAAACCATGGTTACCACATTTCTGGTAACAAGGGTGACCAGATTCAACCTAAGTTGACCAGTGGTAATCAAGCATAACCGAGGGTAATACCCGAAATACAAAGCATAAAATGAAATGTTAGAAAAAACAAAATGCTTGTACTAGTCCGGACTGGTGCCGATTTATAGTGCTAGCTCACTGAGATACCATGCCGCAGTTTAACATGAATACCCCACTCAGACAAAGTATACTGACTCCGAGCCGAGCAGTCCTTGTTTTAGCCCCTTAATGCCGAGCGCCAGACAGGGTAACAACAAGTACCATCTTTTAACGTATTTTGGTATGACGCGGTATCATCATTGTTGCATTATTGATTCTAAAGAATTAATGTTAACAATCAAAAGATCCAATTAACATTTTCCCTCACACATATCAGAACTACTTACATACTATCAATATCTGGTTGATTATATTCATTTAAAAAATTATACATGTTTGAATCTAAAAATGAAAGGCATGGGTAACCTAGGTCAACCGAAGTAGGTCATAAATCAGTTAACATGAGTTAACATTGGGCAACCTCAGTTAACATTGTTTAGAGTGAGTGAGTATGCCGCTGTTAACAATATTCCAGCAATATCACGCCGGGGGACACCTGAAATGGGCTTCACCTATAGTACCAATGTGGGGAATCGAACCCGGGCCCTGGGCGTGACAAACGAACGCTTAACCACTAGGCTACCCCACGGACCCACTTGGTTTTGAAATCGGACGCAGGTACTGGTGAAAGTGACAAAAACGATCCTAGGGGCCTGATCCCCAAATCCAACTAGGTCCAATGACCGAGGTATTTCTTAAAGGTCAACTTGGACGCACGACTGGCGACGTCAGTGACGTCAGTGACGCCATTCCCTATACAGTCAGCCTGCAATAGTATTGTAGTTACATGTATAAAGTGGCCGTATCTTGTTGATTTCTATATATCATTCTGTTGGGTTCTTGGGGTCGTGTGAAGATGGGCAAGGGTACAGTGCCTCTCGTTTGGTTTTACGCCGCTTTTAGCAATATTCCAGCAATATCACGGCGGGGGACACCAGAAATGGGCTTCACACATTGTACCCATGTCAGAAATCGAACCCGGGTCGTCGGCGTGGCGAGCGAACGCTTTAACCACTAGGCTACCCGATCGCGCCCTGATACTGCTTGAATATTGATTAAAGCCTCGTAAAAAATACTCACTCACTTACTCACTACTTTTGATTCCCACATGGGACCAATATGTGAAGCCCATTTCTGGAATAGTGATATTTGCGGCGTAAAACCATACTCACTCACTCACCGTGACGCGGGGTAATCTGAGTGAATATATACAGGACGTTGATGGTGAAACTGATATGTTTGTGTGAGTGAATGATGTCTATCATCACAGTCAGCAATATTCCAGCTGTAAGTATTTAAGCCTGAATCTGGCAAACCAATAACTCCAAATATGCGCAACGAACTCCTTCATCGAAGCGCGGTAACATGCGTGAGTGAGTTGGGTTTAACGCCGTTTTTAACATTATTCCAGTTATATCACGGCGTGTCAGCTTGATGTGGGAGGAAAGCCCGAAGTGATGCAGGTCTCAGACGTTTACCAGTTCGGTGGAACCCTCGAGCACGGGTATGGTGCTGATAAACCTAGAAACATAATCAGGGCGAACCGGGATTCGAACCCACAATCATAGTTTTCTGGCGTGCCCAAGGGACGCAACTCTGCACAGTGAATCGCGGCGCCTTAGGCGACTGGGCCACCCGTGCCCCCTCAAAGGATGTGTGCAGAAAACAGGATAGAAATCTACAAAGAGAATGTATTTCAAGTTTTGAGAGAGGTAGCTATTTGGTGCTTTACTTAGGAGATAAACATACTGTGTTTTCTGCGCGTTCGGTTCCAAATTCAATTTAGCGTGGTTAAATCTACAGGTAACCTAGCTCTACATTGAAAACACAGTATGTTTATCTCCATTCTACCATGACTAAATAAAACGCGAACTCTTTGGTGTTAGCAAATATACTGAGTGAAGCGGCATGGGTTCAGTTCAGTGTTTTGAGTGGATTATCGATCTGAATTACGGAATCACCGAACAAAATATGGTGCTGTATATACTCAAGCAGTTTGTTTACACCGTAATACTTCACTCGAATATATGACAGGCATTGAAAGCATATAAGCACGGCAACTTGGTAAGCTAACATGAGGTGGGCATCCCTAAAGAAAACAAAGCAAGCTTTGCAAGGCTTTCGCTCTATATCGCGCATCATCATTATGACGTCATATCGCTCATTGTGACACAAAAAATATGACGTCACAGTCGTATATAGAAAAGCGCCAAAATTCCAAGCTCTCTGTTGTCTCCAAAACGTAAATACATTCCCTTTGTTAATTTCTGTCGTGTTTTTCTGCACGTAATGTATTGCCACACATCCTTTGAATATTGTAGTAACCGCATCTGTGCATTTCGTAACCTGTAATTGTAGATATAATTATTTAAATATGCCTAGCGACAATGACTGAAAATAGTACTATTCTGTGAATATTAGCTTCCGCGGTGATGCGGCCGTCAAACCAGCTGTTTCAATCAGAGGGGGTTTATTGTGATTTAATAGCCTCTGATTGACCAATCAAAATCGAGTAAATTCCAAATTCATGGTAGAATATATATTACTGTGACGTCATATCTTTGTGTCACAATGAGCGATATGACGTCATAATGGTGACGTGCGGCTTAGAACGAAATCTTTGCAAGGCTTGCTTAGTTTTCTAAGGGGTGCCCACCTCATGTTAGCTGACGAAGTTGCCGCGCTACATGCTTTGAGTGCCTGACATAAGTTCTAGTGATGTATTACGGTGTGAACAAACTGCGTGAGCATATACAGCGCCATATTTTAGTTACCGCCTGTTGTCGGGCATTCCGTAAACTCTGATCAACCTCCCACTCAAAACACTGAACTCAACGGTTATCTCCCAAAACCCCTACATCCCAGTTCCCCTACAATTAGTTAAAACAACACGCGGCATTTACCTGTCTGGCATTATGAACTCACCTAAAGGAGAGATTAAGGTCTGGAGTAGAGGTAGTAGAAATAAAAGGGGTAGAGCTTTAGGGGATTGGGGGACTTAAAGGAAAGTTAAAAAGAATAAAATAATGTAAGTGTAATGAAAGATGCCTGTATGATGAGAAGACAATTTTTAGAAATTACAAAAATAACAATAGGAAGAAACAAATATTACACTGAGAAACTGAGATGAGACGATTTACAGTTGAGATGAAACATGAACATTTTGTTATAATGTATTATGAATTTTGAAAAATGAACATTTTATTATGAATTTTGAATAATATCGTAATCGTAATTAAATATTTATCTCAATCTATTAGAGTTTCTTGGGTTGTTCCATTGTATGAAATAGGTAACAGACTAGGGATTAGCAGTGCCATGGACCGTGAACTTTGTTGTCTTAAGCTGTAGGGGAAATGGGATGTAGGGGTTTTGGGAGGTTACCAACTCAACCCATGCCGCTTCACTCAGTATATTTACTAACGCCAAAGTGTTCGCCGTTAATTTAGTCATGGTAGAATGGAGATAATCCTACCGTGTTTTCAATGTAGAGAGAGGTTACCTGTACATTTAACCGCGCTAAACTTAATTTGCAACCGAGCGCGCAACTTGAGATTTCAAATATTAAATTTAGAACTACATTTAAGCACAGTATGTTTATCTCATAATTAGGTTTAATTTTGACGATATGTTAATACCTTTGATTATGAAGGGGAAACATGTTTTTTTGTGCAAAACTGCATGCAAACTGACAACAATCTATGCCAAATTGTGCTCGATTACACAATGCGAAATTATGCTCGATTACACAGCCTACGGCTGTGTCTGGATGTTCGGGTCAGGAGATTGCACAGTTTAAGTTTTAAGTCTGTAATTGCTGGCTGTGTACAAAACCCATCTCCTCAGTCGTACCCTCCGGTACAAACATGGGGCTGTCGTGTTAGTGCATATATAGAACCCCCTGCTACTCTGTTACCATGCCCCCCTCTCTCTCTCCACCCTCTCTCTCTCCGCCCTCTCTCTCTCCACCCTCTCTCTCTCCGCCCTCTCTCTCTCAACCCTCTCTCTCTCCGCCCTCTCTCTCTCTCAACCCTCTCTCTCTCCGCCCTCTCTCTCTCCACCCTCTCTCTCTCTGTGCCCCCCCTCTCTCTCTCCACCCTCTCTCTCTCCGCCCTATCTCTCTCTCTCCGTCCTCTCTCTCACCACCCTCTCTCTCTCCGCCCTATCTCTCTCTCTCCGCCCTCTCTCTCTCTCAACCCTCTCTCTCTCCGCCCTCTCTCTCTCCACCCTCTCTCTCTCTGTGCCCCCCTCTCTCCCTCCACCCTCTCTCTCTCCGCCCTATCTCTCTCTCTCCGTCCTCTCTCTCACCACCCTCTC